AAATAATTAGTAAAATCATCTTATACTTTTGGCAGTGCAGAACTTCAAACAAATTAAAATTTTAGAAACCCAGATTAATCCAGATGTGAGTGCCTTTCTAATTTATGTTCCATTAAACCTTAAACAGAGAGTTGGGGTGTAGGGTAAAAAAAAAAAATCACAGGTTCATATGAGTAAAGCAAGGTAAAACAGACAATGTAAATCAATTTTTGTTCATTTTATACAAAAAGAACTGTGATAATAGATGTGAGTTTGAAAAGGTGTTGAAATGTGTCCTCCCCCCAACAGTTGCCCCTCCCCCCATGGTTCACATAGGGCTCAGTGTAAAGTCACAGTAGGCTTTCTTTTCCTCAGCGTTGCTGGCATTTAATACAAATCTGAAATTACTAAGTCTATATTTAATTTATCTTTATTTAAATTTTTTTCCATTTCCAGAATCACACAGACTATTCTGCATTTTGCCTCAGAAATCTGATTTACAGTTTGACAACTGTGAGTGATTTTTTCTCCATATAGATATACTTTTGGGCAAACTGTCCATTTTCCTTTGCTCAGACTGATAGCAGATTCTAGGAGGCTCACTGGAGAAGGAATCAGGGTACATGTAGACATCCAGACGCTGGGTTTCTATGTTTTCTGCATCCTGATGACTAGACATGCCATATGTAACTCATTTAGATTGCTGAGAAATCAGAACTGAAGCAAATTCTCAAGCCCCCTCAGCAACATAGATAAGGGTATGACAAAAGCTTCAATCTACCATCCCAGAGATCTCTGAGTGGGATGGTGAAGGAGCTTGCCTGGAGACACTTATCAACTACCATGTGGAGTTTTCTGAAAATTTGCAGCATGAACTAATGCAGAGTGATGGATTAGAGAAACACTAATCTCGACAGGTAGCTTACAGGGGCTGTTGCACTCAAGTAAACCCCTTCACGCCCTGCATTACTATATTTTGTGTTATTTTCCACTATACAACAGTAGGTCTTTCTTACTGGCCAGTAAAACTTCTTAACAGTTCTCAGGTAGACATTTGTATATTTCCAAACTCTCTGCAGTGAACATTTTATTAAGTGATAGAAAAAGCCATCCATCCTGGGGACAGCATGCAGGAGAGGATGCTCAGATGATGACCCAACAGGTCTGTGGGGATTAACTGTAGCATGGTATCCTGCTGAAATGAATTGCCCCATGGCACCGGAGATTCTGAAGTTTCATTACTTTATCAGAGTATCCAGTAAATCAAAAAGCTTCATTTGCATATCAGTAGCACCTCCTCACCACAGGTAAGGAGTGTGAAATATTCAAGGTCCATTACCTGTAGTTGTTAAAGGCTGGTTCGCAGAGATGTGGCTGTACCTGTGGGAGAGGCTGGTCCCAGAGCAACCCACAGGAAACACACTGATACTTTATAAGTCCATCATATTTGTTTCTCTGCATGGTGTATACCATACTGATGACATTTCTTAGCTTTACAAGTCATTAGAAGTGCCAGAGAAAGATTGTGAATCCAGAAAAGTATATCATTAGTATATATTTTAGAACTTTCACACTAGTACGAGTTAGAACACGGGATATTTAGTTATTTCTCAAAACTAAAGACACATTTTCAAATGTAGAATCTCTTGTTAAAAATGATTTAAAAATCATTTTTGCACTGCTTATAAGATTAGAGGCAGTATAACAGGAAGATTACCCAGGACTAGTTAACTCTCAGGTAGAATCTAGGAGGGTTTCCTATTTAAAAACTAGCTGGAAGCCTCAGTACTGGGTGATCACTAATCTTGTCATTAAAGCCAGAAAAGACTGAGAAACTGTGACAAATTGGAAGACATTAAGGAGAGACAATGACATGTAATGTGGGGTGCTGGAACAGAAAAAAGGAGGTTTTGGAAAAACGGGAGAATCTCATCAAAGTTAAGTTTATTATTTCATTCATACTATACCAATGTTAATATCTAAGTTTTGATCAAAGTACCGTAATATTGGAGGATGTTAACTAATAACAAGAGAAAATGAATAGAAAGCAGATGGGAATGCTGGTAACAGGGATGTGCCCACCTATACACACTGGTGCCACTGCCCATGTTCCCGTTCCTCAGAGCCATCTGTAACCATGTCTTTCCTCCTGAAAACACACTCACCACTCGGTCCCTTCCCGCCAGCTTTAGCAAACCAGTGTCGCTGTCAATAGTACCTCCCAGTGAGAAAATTAAAACATGTCTTCGAGTGTCAGCTCTTATTATGAGAGCCTTGTTAAGTGTCAGAACACAGGAGAAATTTTGTTTTCATATTTGTTTTTATTGGAAGTATATTGCATTGAACTTAGGTTTCTGGTGTGCATCCTAATTAACCAACAGCTGTGTACACTAAGTACACTAAGTCTAATTCTGTCCTTCACCAGTGGATCCCTTTCACCTGAATTACCCACCCTGTCCCCTTCTCTGTTCCCTCTGGGAATCATTAATTCTAAAATTGTATTTTTGTTTTTTAGTTGTTTTCTCTTCATACCTATGTATCAGTGGAATCATATGGTGTTTGCCTTTCTCTGTCTGATTTAAGCAAGCATAGTACAGCCTCTAGATCCATTAATGTTGCAAATGGCAGGCCATCTTCTTTTAGCTGAGTAGTATAATAGTATTCCACTGTTTACATCTCAGCTGTTGCCATTCTTTCTGCAGTCATCTGTGGATGGTACTTAAGTTGTTTCCAAATTTTAGCTTTTGTAAGTAATGCTGCAATGAATATCTGTGTATGGGGGTGGAGCGCATGTTATCTCTTCAATTAGTTTAGTTTTATATTTTATATTTTTGGGTAAGTACCCAATATCTATTTATATCTATCTATCTATCTATCTATCTATAGAATTTTCTCTTTTTTTTCTTATTTATTTATTTATGCATACAGAACTGGGGTATAAGTCAGAGGTGTGGGGGTAAGAGGATTCACCAGAGACAGAGTAGGGAGTAGAACAGGCAGATGGACTAAGTACATTGCTGAGGGGAGCGGTTGGCAGGTCAAGAGTGGCCTGCTGCACTGTGTTTTCACCTCCCTGGCCAGGGAACAAACTCGTGCTGCAGTGGCTGCTGTAGCTTCATGGGCTGTGCTTTAACCTGTTGCGCCACCAGGGAGGGCCCAGGATTTTCATTTTAATTTTTCTTGAGGAATTTTTGTACTTCAGACTTTTTTAAATTTTTAAAAAATATTTATATATTTGTGCATACAGAATTGGGGTACAAGCCAGAGGTGCAGGGGTGGTGAAAGAATTCACCAGAGACAGAGCGGGAAGCAGAGCAGGGAAATCGATAAAGTACACTGCTGAGGGGAGCAGCGGGCAGGTCAGGAGAGGTCTGCTGTGCCATGTGGATCACCTCCAGAGCAGGCGGGGATCTAACTCTTGCATAAGTAGCTTTAGCTTCTTAATGCTTCTTAGAGCATTAAGGGAGGACCCAGAATTTCTTTTAATAAATATATTGTCATATTAAATATTGTTCCCAAAATGATATTATTTTCTAGGTATGGAAAATTTGCAAATTATGATTTCCAGAATGTATTTATTTATTTATTTATTTTTATTTATATATTTTAATTTTATAACAGTTTATTTTTACATCATTTTGTACATTTTTTTTCCCATCTCAATTGTAATCCCTGCGGATTTCCCAATTTCCAGAATGTTTTTAAACTTATTTCCCAATTTTTATGTTGCATAATTTAAAAATAAGAGAATTCAATATGAGAAAAGTAAATTTAAATTCAACTTCACAGTTCTATTAACTTGGAAGTGCAAAATTTATCAACAATCGCCCTAATTCTTTTTCTCACATTGGGTAAAACAAGCCAAATGAGGGGCCTCCCTGGTGTTGCAAGGGATTAAATCTTAGCACTATCAAGCTTTTGGCAGCCACTACAGCACAGGTCCAATTTCAGGCTGGGGAGCTGACCCACATGGCGAGGCAGACCTCGCCTCTCTCACCAGCTGCTCCCCTCAGCAGTGTATTTCAGTACATCTGCCTGTTCTGCTCCCCATTCTGTCTCTGGTGAATCCTCTCACTACACCGCTTCCCCTGCACCTCTGGCCTGTACTGCAGTCCTTATATGCATAAATAAATATTAAAAAAAAAAGAAAAACAAGCCACACTGATTTATGGTCTTTATCTGTTTTCTCACTGATCTGAGGAACTCCTTATCACTCTCTGACTGGGCTCTCTCAACTTCCCTGTTGCCCTGTCAGTATTCTCTGCATTCCCTCCCTGCATACTGCTCACCTTGTCTGTCTCCTCCTTGCCACATTAGATTGCAAATCATTCTTGGAGATGTCTGTTTCTCCCTGAGGGTATAAGTGCCTACAGGGCTGTGCTGTTACCGCCTTTCTTTCTTTCTCTTTTTTTTTAAAGATTGATTTATTTATGCATATAGAAATGGGGTACAGGCCAGAGGTGCAGGGGTGGCGAGAGCATTCACCAGAGACAGAGTGGGGAGCAGAACAAGCAGACTGACGAAGTACACTGCTGAGGGGAGCAGCAGACGTTAGGAGAAGTCTGCCACACCATATGGATCACCTCCGGGGCAGGCGGGAATCGAACTCATTCAGAAGCAGCTTTAGATTCTCAGTGCTGTGCTCTAACCCGCTGCGCCACCAGGGAGGGTCTTTTCTTTGCTTTTAATAAAGGCAAATAACGCATAAATGACAGTAAAGATAATATTTCTAAGCACTAATGTGATAGCACAGTCTTGTTATCCACCTATTACATGAAGCACTTTCATTTTGTGGAATACCCACATCAGATTAAGGGGTCTTAAGCTAAAATCAAAGCAGTTAATGTAGGCGTCATTCCTTTACCTTGTATCTTTAGTGTGTATGATGTAATTATGAGGGTTTACATAATCTGGAATTTGAAACTATGATTTTCATAAATCCCATTTATATTTACATTCTACAGATTTTAAATATTTATTTCTTTATACCTTTTTTCCTGTTTTCATTTTCAAAAAAAAAGGAGCTGGTGGCTGGACCCCCCTTGTGTCAAATAAATACCAGTGGCTGCAGATTGACCTTGGAGAGAGAATGGAGGTCACAGCTGTGGCTACCCAGGGAGGATATGGGAGCTCTGACTGGGTGACCAGCTATCTCCTGATGTTCAGTGATGGCGGGAGGAACTGGAAGCAATATCGACGAGAAGAAAGCATCTGGGTATGTTCCTTTATTTAAAACAGTGTGTTAAACTGTGAATTACACAGCTCTAAATGTTATTGCGAATTACTAGATCAAGTACAGAAACAGCCTCCTAAATTATTTGAAAATTTTGTAAGTAAATATGACCCATGTGGTGTTTTAAAACAAACGATCCATATATAATTTATGAAATAAATATAAGTGAAATACTTTTATAATGTGGTGATATACTGAAAATGTCTTTTCATGATTCTTTTAAATAATGCAATCTAGGGAATGAATAAGTCACAACCTACTTTTTTTGTGTTCTATAGCATAGTATTACCTTGGCATTTTTAATAAAGTAAGTTTATTTTCTTATGTCCTCTAAGTGAAATTTCTGAAAAATCCTGAACATTAAGAATACATGAAATGGGGACTCTCCCTATGGGGAGTCTGTTGAGGGACTAAGCTTTTAACCCCACAGGAACTTGAGTCCTATGTGAGCCCTTTTATTTCAGAGGTTATAGATCTTTTGGAATTCAACAAATTTAAAGTATTTTCAATCAGTAACATGGTTTCTACTTTTTATACATATCCTTGCTTCTTTCCAAAGAAATAAATTGTGTTTACTTACATAGAAAAATATCACATATTTAGAATCTCTGGTCTTTAAATCATACTCTATAATTCTGAATGTGAGGTTCGAGAAATAGCTGTGCAAACATTCGCACAGTATTTGGATTTGACTGATGGAGGGAAGTTGTCAGGTGAAAAAACTGCTTTGTTCTCCTTATTAAAAATAGAGCTTAGATGACTGCCAGGGGGAAGGAGGGTTAATATTTAATGGAAACAGTTTCAGTTGGAGAAGATAACGTTCTGGTGATGACCAGAGGTGTTGGTTACACAACAATGTGAATGTGAATGTGAATGTGAATGTGAATGTGAATGCCCTAGAACTCTACAGTTAAACATGGTGAAAGTGGTAAATTTTATGCTGCATGTATTTATGATGCTAAAAAATATACAGGCTAACTTCCATTTATGCTAGAATGGAGGCTGTTTAGCGTTTTTTCCCTTTATTGCCTGGGTGGGAAGAGAAGCATTCTGCTAAAAGGCTGTTACTTCTTAGCAAGTAGCTTATCTGTCAAAGTAACAGGCAACAGAATCATCATATTCATTGGGTAAAAAATAACTTTCATTTGAATTTCTTTTAGAACTCTGATATTATAACAGTATATTTTTTTCTATTATTTATTTTATTATTTAAAAAATATAATGTACTTTTTTCTTGGATTGTTGTTAAGTTTTGGTCCATGTATGGTTTTTCCCCTTAGATGTGATCACTGTAGTTCCCACCACCAAAGTACTCATCGTCCATTACCATATTCTTTGTGTTCTTCTCCCACTTATTTTCACCCTTACACACCCCTTTTTCCTCCCTTCTGAATGCCTCACATCTATGGTCAGCTTTGCTTTTGTCTGGTGTTTGGTTTGGGTTTTTCTGTATTATACATATAAGTAAAACCATCCAATATTTATCTTTTTTCCTCCTGATTTATTTAACATCAACCTTTTCAGCACCATCCATGTTGCATCAAACATGAGTTTATTTCTTTTTTTGATTGTTGAGTAGTTTTCCATTTAGCATATATATATCTTCTTAGTTCACTTGTCTGTTTTGTAGAATGCAGATTTTTGTTTTATGTTTTTTTTTTAGTTGGTGTTTCTATGTTTCTGGGTAGTTTCCTAGGAGTGGAACCCTTGGACCAGTTTGCATTCACAGTGTAGGAGGGTTCCTTTTTCATCAGCATTTTTTGTTTGTAATTTTTTAAATATGAGTCATTCTTACCTGCATGAGATGGTATCACATTGTATTGTTGGAGATTCATTTTCTTTCTGTGGTCTGAGAATGTGAATGTCAATGCCCTAGAATTCTGCACTTCAACATGGTGAAAGTGGTAAATTTTATGCTGCATGTATTTTATATACTAAAAAATGTACAGATTAACTTCCACATTCACCTGAGGAGTGGCTTGGACATTAGAATTTTCCTTTCCTCCTGTTGTTTGCTTTAGGTTTTGTTCTACTGTGGATGGACATCTAGTATGTGTGTGTTCCTCTCCTATTGTTATTGTCATCTACCAGCTGGTATGTAAAGTAGCTGAGGCCTTCCACAGAGAAGATCTGGGCATACAGTGTAGTGATTTTTCTGACTATCTGGACAAGCAATTGGCAGGTCTTATGGGGGGGGGTGTGGGGTAGGGAGGCCTTTGCTATTTTAGGGTCCTGACATGAGTCTGGGGTCTCACCAGTCAGTGTGGGTACTGAAGGCATCTTGTAGGAGATCACAGTAGGTCAAGGTGGGCACTGATGGAGACCTTTAGGAGGTTTTGATACCTCTGCTGGTCTGGGGATGAGGACATGGTGTCATGGAAGGTGGCAAGGTCTCTGGCCTCCCTGACACCCTTCCCAGTGCATGTCTAGGGTCTCACTGGTCTAAGCAGGCACTGGCAGGGTCCATTTAATTTTTAATCTCTGGAACTCTTACTGGTTCATTAATGAACATTGATATAATAGAATCAAAATTAGTTGTTTGTTTAATATTAGGTAAAAGATTAAAGTGGGAAGAAATTTGTGTGTATTTATAAGGCTGACTGATTGAAAGTTTCCAAACAAGCAGTTGCCTCCCAGGTTCTAGACCTTAGGGCCTGGGTATACTTGGGACCAACCTGTCTACCACACTATATTTATATATTTCTGTTTATTTTTTTTTCTTTTTGCATTTGGTATCCCTTCATGACACACAGTTCTCACTAGATTTAAACATGTTTTCAAGTCACAGGAAATAATAATGCAGAGCAAGCTGAGCACCTGCTCACAGTTGGTGACTTTAGGGTCGTCCCCATGATAGGCTGCCGGTGTCGTGTCACCCCAGTGACATCAGTAACTTGTAGCTAAAGAGCCACAACCTTTACTCTCAGGAGGAAAGAATGTGTTAACTCTTCCCCCAGAAGGCCGGTGTCCTTTAGAATGAGGTCAAACCAAGAACTTACTCTCTGTGTTAAACTTTTTTGTATATTCTTCCTAACCTGATTTTTTAAAGTATTCATGTTCCTCTGGATAGTCCTATTATACATGCTAACTCTAGTCTACTAATACATGTCAATGCTCTTTCATCTGTTGTTCCAAATTAAAAAAAAAAACAGTAAAATATTGATCACAACTTCCTACTTTAAGTAGAATTAGAATAATTAATTAATTAGTTAATTAATTAATTAATCACTTTAAATAAGACATGAGGTCTTCATGTTACCTTGGGAAAGTGTCCATATGCTCTGTAGTGGGAAGGCTAATTAATAATATGAAACACAATCTATGGCTCTCTAAATTTTCAAAAATTCTTAAATAGAAATGCAGCTGGCAACAGCATCCTTAACTCAGGGATTTGAGGGCTGTAGGATCAATCGCTCAAAGGTGAGCTATCCGAATGGACTGATTTTTAATGAATTATACTCTACTAGTTTTATGTTTCACATTGATTTTCTTTTCTCAGTGAGTGACAGCCTTTACCACTGAACTATATTTGTATCTGGAAATAACCAAATCAGTTAGTCAAATGTTGAGAATTTGAAATCCATTGAGAATTAGTATTTAAATGGAAATATGAGACTGTGTGTTAAATGACAGTAAAAGCCTGGCCACCTCTTCCAGAGGACACAGGATAGTATCTCATGTACAACTAAACATTCTCATTTGAAACATAGCAGAAGAGGATCCATGGTTTTAGCAGGTTAGAAGAACCTGTAGCAAATGTGTTCATTTCTTACAAGATGTGGATAACGCTGGTTTTCATTGGTCATTTATGAAGCCCCAGGGTTTCACAGTGCTGAGATCCATAGATGAAAATCTATCATTAGGCCCTCCCTGGTGGCACAAAGCACAGCACTATGAAGCTGTCACAGCCACTGCAGCACGAGTTCGATCCCTGGCCAGAGAGGTGGCATGGCAGATCTCTCCTGTTTCCCTGCTGCTCCCCTCAGCAGTGCATTTCAGTACATCTGCCTGTTCTGCTTCCTGCTCTGTTCTGGTGAGTCCTTTCACTCCACACACTTCTGGCCTATACTCCAATTCTCTATGTATAAATAAATAAATCTTTTAAAAAGAATCAATCTTTTCAAGTCCAGCCCAAACAAGTTAGAAAACCACACCCTGCTGAAGATCCTGTGATGAGATTGAAACTAGCAGTGCAGCAGATTGATGATCACTGAGTTAATCACAGTGACCCTCAATGTTTATTTTCTGATTGCTTCCCAGATAATCAATTATCAAAGATGTATATTGATAACACATGACTGTTAGATTTATTATTACAAAGTCATGAACAGGCTCTCGTAAATCGGTAGACTTAAGTCCAAGCCACTGTGAGCTGGGCTCTGAGTTCCCTTTGTGGTCTCTGGACCAAGATGGGGAGCAGTAAGGGACCTACCATCGTCATCTTGCTCTGAATCCTGGATTTGTGAGCATCTGGGTGGAGGGAGAAGCTGATGGCAGGTGGCTCAGCACTCTTGAGGGCACTGGAGCTACAGATCTCCACTCCTTTGTCCTCCAAGCCCCTTTGTCCTCATGGGTCACTATTGCATACCTTTCCAATCAGCCATATCAGATCTGCTCCAAATCTGTGTCCTCCACTGTGGTGGCTTGGGAACAGTGGGATGACCTCATGAAAGCAAGACCGATGTCCCTCTCTCTCATTGGGTGACCTGGCTCCTGGTGTTTGCCACATTTAGGCTCCTCCACTAACACCTGCCACTCTTGTCACCAGTGAGCCCCTGCTGTGCCACAGTGCCTTTCCTACAGCAATCCTTGGGGGTCTGCTTTCTTTGACTTTACTTCCCTCGCCTATCAAAGTACTCTTTGCTTTATCCTTCTATTCCATGTTTAGTATATATGCTGCCAAAGTGAACATTTTCCTCTTTCACTTGTCAATAAACATTTTACAGCTACCTTTTTCTTTGTATTTTTCTTTTTTCTCCATT